CATCACGCGATGCAAACATGCACCACACTTACGGGACTAACTACCTTAGCTGTTTACGCGCCCGGAATCCTTGACGAACCAAGCAATCAATAGTGTTTGCACCCCCAGGCCTGCCTCCCTACGCAGCACTCCACAGCCCGGGCGAGCGGCGAGTGGAGGGAGTGGTGAGGCGCGGCGGGGCGGGGCGTGCGCGGCCATGACGTCCTCGCTGCGGGCGGCGCTGCTGGTGGCGGCGTGGGCGGCGGCGTGGGCGGCGGACTCGGCCGAGGAGGAGAGCCTGCGGCTGCCGGTGGAGGCGAAGCCAAGGCGGTACCGCCTCGACATCACCCCGTACCTGCACGGAGACTTCCGCTTCGAAGGAGAGGTGCGTGGCACGTGAGAGTAACGTGGTTCAATGAATGCCTTATTGTTCGAGGGGAGGTTCGGGCCATCAGGCCTGCTCTTCCGCCTGACCACGCAAATTCTGTTACCCTCCTTTCACTGCCTAGCTGAGCAAGGAAATATCATTCGGGCGAGAGAACTGAAGACTTTGAATTTAGCTTCGAGGCTTCTTTTAGGCTTGAGGATATTTTACAGGCAGTAAATCTACAACATGGAACAGCCGTCTTTACTCCCCTCCGAAGGAAAGTGTACGAAGGATTTTTTCGCCCTTAAAAACCGTGTCTTCGATCGGGTTTGAACTCGCGAACTTGGGTTGATCAGTACGATATACCGCTAACCGTTACTCCATCGAAGCCGTCGTGGCAGCACAATCACGCGATCACTGCAAGAAAATTTTATTATAGGCATTGCTGGCAGTGTAAGAGACCAATATCGCGTTCTCTCTATGAGCCATATGTGGTTCACAAAACGTAACACGCGTTGGTTTTACTACGTCCACATGTGGGCCATAGATGTTTACAACTTCTACTGCAAATACGGAAGATTTTAGCGTGGACTAGCTAGGATGGTTGTAAAATTTAGAAATACACCGGGGCGTACAAAAAAGAAATTTATTTTTGTGAACATTACAATACAACTTTCTGACATTCAGAAATGTGTGGACGTGCGGAGATATTATAATGATTTCATAAAGACGGGGAAAACGATATCTTACAAAAGCTGGTGGTGCGTTAGTATGAAGAGTTAATGAAAATACACAACATTGCGGCACAAAAACATGAAAAATTGTTTTTAAACGGAAGATGTCTTCATTCTGTCTTCATAATCCACACAAGAAGTTTGTGTCTCTCTTTTGTGCCTTAAAAAAACTATAATGTAGGGAACTAGTTAGAAGAGTAACAGATTTTGTTTTAACATTACTTAAATTATTTTTATGTTTTACAATTGAAGGACTCAGTAGATTCATTTTATTTTAGAAATTGAGTTATTAGCATTCAAATGAGTCTTTTAATGCAATATGTGATTTATATCTAGTACGGATTTATATGCAATTTTACTGAGTCTAACCGTTTTAAAGTGTGTTGTGTTATATTGTGAAAGTGCTAGTAAAACCCCCAATATCTCAGAACTAGATGGATATGCGACAGCTCCTTGTTCCACTGAGTCCTTCATTCATTAGCTACCTTTTCAAGATAATACATGTGTGGCCCTGTGGCAGGTGTGGATGGAGCTGGAGGCGGTGAAGGCGGCGGAGCGCATCACTCTGCACCGCGGGCGCGGCCTCAACGTGGACCTGCAGGACGCGACGCTGGAGCTGCTGGCGGCGCCGCCTTCGGCCGCCCCCGCGCGGCGCGCCGCCCGCTCACTCTCGCCCACTGAGGTAACGCCCGCCCCCTCACCCTCGCCGGCCGAGGTGGCTCAGGACATCCACCGATGACACTGAAGAGCCTTTGACCAGAGTACAACGGTGGTGGGAATTTCTACACTATCTAGAGAGCTAGGTAGAATTTAGCTGCTGTCTGGAGGAGAATTCTATCGGCCGGCTGCTTTGATCGGTAGTTTCTCCGATCAACACCAGGCGATTGCCGGAGCAGTACCTAACAAACGGGCCACGCACCACGCGCCGAACCGGTAGTTCAGGTATTAATTGATGTCATTGCAGTTCCTCTGACCACAAGATTCTAGGGTTCCAGTCTCGACGCAGGACTGTAGACACTGGCTAGACAGCTAGTCGAATGCAGTCCTTATCTGAAGGAGAATTCTATCGGCCGGCTGCTTTGATCGGTAGTTTCTCCGATAAACACCAGGTGAATAGCGGAGCAGTACACTAACGTACACAAACGTGCCACGGAACGTGCGCGATCTTTCCTTCCTCTACCTTGTCCTATCCTCACACACATTTACATGCACTACACTATAACACAAGCCTGGAAATTAGTTGGAAGCTTAGAACTTGTCCCAGTTGGGCGGTCCGCATTGGTGGATGATATCTGGATGGGGTAAACCCCGCGACTCGCCGTGTACGTCGCCAAACATAATCTTCCATTGGGGAGAGAACATAGCCATTTTCCGTGATTAAAACGTGTGCTACACTTTTGAGACCACTGACCATAGCACTTGATGTGCCCAGAAACACAAAATAGTCAAACAATCCATTCATTCACTTCACATGTTTAACATGTCGAATTCAGCCGCTGTCTGGAAAATAATTCTAGCAGTTTACTTCTCTTTGGTACTTTTCTGTGGTTTCTCCGATCAATGCCAGGCGAATGTCTGAGAAATAATATCCTAACAAACAGGCGACGGACCACGCGCGATCTTTCCGCTTCCTTGTTCCCTCGTCTCCCCTTACACACACACAATCACTTACACGCATTACACTACCACACTTTGGGAGACCAGTGGGGAGCCTAGAGCTTATTCTGGCTGTGGCAGTGCCCCTCTGAGGGAAATACTGGAGGGGGGAGATGTCCCGCAACCCGACAAGTAGGTTGGCTTGATCTTTTCATCCAGCTTGAAGCAGCGCCATCTCCCGAAATAAAACATCCACGACACTAACGGGAGTAATAATCATAATAGTTTATACGCCTGGAAACATCGATCTATCACACATCAGATGCTCATTTCAAATAATTTGATCCTGTGGAAATAATAGTTTTTTTCTTGTTCACGAATTGCCCTCCCCCACAATACTTTTTAATGTATTCTCTGTAAGGAAATGTGGATTTCATTCAATTACAGACCCTCTTAAACGTAATGTTTGCAACAACTAGAAAGACAACAGTAGAACAAAATAGGAAAGTAGTACCAAGTGTTATATGCTCACGTTATATTGAGACCTGAAATACCCCCCTTTCTCCTTTACTAACATTTGTTGAATTAACAATAACTATTAACGATGAACATTCTTGATAAAATCTAATTACCAGAAACGATCGCTCCCGTGTAATAAAATCTGTTTTGCATAAAAAAACGAGCTACAAATTTGACATTTTAGTCCTGTCATCGAAATAATCAACACCTCACTCCTCTCGCATCTAGCGGAATGATGTGTCACGAAAACGTGTCAACTTTATAAATAATATACTTGTGCAACGTTTCCAGTGCGGCAAATGAGCGAAATGTTGACCAATTAATATTTTATAAGGAAGCAATAAGTTTGTATTCACATATTACTAAAAAGACGAGTAGCTGATTATTTATATCATATTCGAGTTATTACTTTATATAATAATCACTCTTTAGACAGACACTGGTTAAAGCGATTCTTTTTAAGGCATGCAGAGCGTGCTACGATTTTTAACACTCTAGTGGACGCTTAGCGTTAGTGCTAAAAGTGAGACGATGTTCGAACGCTCAGATGAAACTCTGAATGAAACACAGCCACTCGACTTATAGACGTGTCGCAACCATTCTTACTTGCATAATAACATGTCACTTTCACCACTCGTAACAAAACTTATTGTTTGTTTTAATATGATCTTCGCGATAAATCAGGTAACAGACAGGACTGTAATTGATTTCCATCCCTTCCTGTCTTGCGTATCATTCTACATAACGTCTCTCATTCATTATAATCTATATTTGTTATCATACAATCGATTATTATAATCACGTATGTATTAGCTCTACCAAAGTTTAAAACTATGCAAAAACGTATCGTTATTACTATTATTACCAGTGGTGGCTTGTAGGGTAGTGGGAATTCTGATGCGGTATTGTTGACGTTATTACATGAAGAAATAAAAGAAGGCATGCCCGTCAACTTATATTTATTTAGAGAGCCGGCTTTCGACGGCTTTGCCATCATCATCAGTCTACAAATATAAACAAAATAAAATATACATAAAATACCAAATAAATACAAAATAAGACAAAGAAGGTAGATTAAAATAAATAATTGATAATTGTAAATGTTTTCAGTTTAATCTTCGTTATAAATTAATAAACACGGTTACAATAAAGTTTAATTTTCGTGCCCACGAATTTTATTTTAGAGATTACTAAACCAGTTTTAAAAACCTCAAGTACAACAGTCAAGTCATTGTTTAAAAACATGTATGGATTTTGATCGATGTTTTATGATTATCGATATTTAATTCTAAACATCGACAATTGGTGACATCAATTTGTTTGTTATCGATGTCACACAACCAATAGAATTCCGTACCGGTAGCCACTAATTATAACTTTATGCATGTTGCGAGGCTGGGACCATGAGGAACACCTAACCATAATAATTCGCACTCCAAAGTGTTTCCAATGTGAACGTGAGCCCGATGGTGCTCAGGAGGAGGAATTAAATTTTGGTGCCCACGAAGTTTATTTTAGAGATTACTAAACCAGTTTTAAAATATCAAGCATCACAGTCAAGTCATTGTTTAAAAACATAGATGGATTTTGATCGCTATTTTATTACTATCCATAATTAAATTCTGATCATCGATAATTGATTACATCAATTTTTTTTATCAAGGTCACTTCCAATAGAATTCCGCACTAATTATTACTTTATGCATGTTGCGAGGCTGGGACCATGAGGAACACCTAACCCCAATAATTCCCCCTCCAAAGTGTTTCCAACGTGAACGTGAGTGCGGTGGTGCGCAGGCGAAGGCGGAGGCGGAGGAGGGCGAGGAGGGCGTGGCGGAGCGGGCGGCGGAACGCGCGCTGGCGCTGGAGGGCGCGGAGGAGGCCGAGGGCGACGACCGCGTGGCGCTGCTGCTGGCGGAGCCGCTCTCGCCCGGCCGCCTCTACCGCTTGCGCCTCGCCTTCAACGGCTCCCTCTCCGACGACCTCACCGGCTTCTACAAGGTCTCCTTCCGCGAGGGGAACGCCACCAAGTGAGTCGCTCCCGACGCGCGAAAAGGTTTATTTTTTACTGATACGTTAGTGATTGTTATTGCCTTCGATTCACAGCCCAACGTACCTCGATCGTGAGGATGATGGGTACGAGGGAAACATGAAAACAGTTGAATGATGCCGATGTATTCGATGGCTTCCGAGGCCGGGAGTCTTTCGATGCAAATTCATTTTCCTAATTATCTAAAAGAGACGTTGACTGGGTGTGTCTTTTCTTTTTTCTCTCCCATAATTCCATCCATAAATGAACATGACGCAACTGGATAATTGGCTGCCCGGGGTGAACCACGTCGATGATATAACAGTATGGCTCTGAAGAAGGCCACAACACGTTGGCCGAAACGTCTGCTCCATCGTCTGAGATGCGGCTCACCCCGGACAGCCAAGAAACCAGTTGAATGATGTATCATGTTCCCTTACGTATGGAATTATGGGAGGAAAGTATGCAAAAATGACAAACCCAGACAACGTCACTTTTACATTATTAGAGAAATGAGTTTTGATAGTTCATTAGTAAATAAGTAAATCTGAATCATTAAAATTAAATAAACAATAAAAATTTTGTATGAACTATGGGCGTTAACTAGTTTTAATTATCTCGGGTGTCAAAACGCCGTTAGGCGAAAGGTCATTGGACATTTTTGTCGCCGCTCGACCATTCGAACCCTTTGTGAATACGTAACTATTGTTTGCAATGGCCCGGCACTAGGAGATTGATTCGATGGGCTACCCCCCTCGGGCCCAAATTGCTGGGAATTTGCTGGTTCGGAGGGAACCAATCGCGCCGTTGCAACCCGCGGTCATGTTTCTTTCTCACCCGCTTCCCACATAATCCCATTTCACTTCTGAAAGCCTGAGAAGGCTCAGCTCGATCACGTCCCGTTCGGTGAATTTGGTTGGGAAAGAGGAAACAATTTGTTTAACTGTAATATAGTAAAGGTCAAATAGAGTAGGGAAAGCTTATTATTTTAAAATGAACCCTGTAATGCCCTGTGTTATAAATATGTAACCATGTTTCTGGTCAGCCCACATGTGCACCTTTCGCACTAATTTGCGAATATATTTCATCAATAGTCAGAGACATTCTAAATGAAAGCATGAATAAGCAAGTTATTTTCGTTCCTGATTGCTATATTTCGATTCAGCCGAGATCGTAAAGGCATAGTACCCGCCTGTTCAGGGCGTATTAATCACTTGCGTTGGTTTGAATTGTCATTTAAAACCATGCTTAGCTGATATATGCCCGTGGTTAAGTAAATTCAATGTAGAAAGATTCGGAGAGTTGTTTGGAGGTTTCAATACACCTCGCAAGAAGAATCTATTGAAAATCTCGTAGATAGCCTGTGGTAGATTCTTTGAGAGATTATTGCGAAGGACAAGCTACACTGATATCTGAATGTGGTTTACGTGTACTAAATATAAGAAGTAACGCAATTAACAAACGATGTGCAAGTATGTTTCTTATTTTGTCGTGTCTCTATACTCAAACAGTCCTCCAAGTTATTAAAAATTTATTAAAGGCTAACATGAATCGTGTACTTCTAATTATGATTCTAATAATCGTGGACACAGCTAAATTCTAGTTTCTATCGAAAAGTTGGAGCAATAGAAATTTCTTTTAACTGGAAAAGTTTTGGAACAATTATTTCATTCCCTACAATTGTAAAAGTAAATACTACGTTTTAATAAAAAGTACAAAAACCATAAAATTCTTCAATTTCATGTAAACTACCGTAAAAGACACGATGAGATCACTCATTACGTCTGTCTCTCTGTTCCAGTTCCCTACCCATCGATCAGCAAGGCTTAAATTTACTTGGTTGCAATAGATGAGACAATTATGATAATTTTTAAATGAAACATACCGCACACTATAAAATTCTTCAGTTTTACACAACTAAGGGAAGCGTGGGCAGGAAAGTCAACCCATTAGATAGGGCAGAGGAACTATTACTGACATTTTTGTGAAACCTCTTAAATAATAAATGTTTAAATTGTTACATTTCCTCCAAATCATTACATCTACATTACACATTTGACACCAAGACCAAGAAATGTTTCGATATACCACGCACCCCCTCGTTTGCAGCATCTCAGTGCAAATAGTCATGTAAGTAATTAGTAAGCTCCGACCACGGAATAATAAACTTTTTGAAACGTTGGGGATCTAAGAGAAATTATTAATGTATGCTTTAAAAATGTCTTGCATGGACTTCATTATTGCGGGAAAAATGCATACCGTGACTTTAATGGGAACCCTCGGAAAATACAGAACGAAAATAAAATTAATATTGTAATAATGTCAAATCTGCGTTGAAAAAACAAAGTTTCAAGGATTCTGTAAGAAAGTTTTGCAATTATTAACCAAATAATTTTTCACTGCATGAAGCGTATTAAGGTACCTTCTGTGTGTAACAATAAGAACGAAAATTAAGTAGTGAATATTCTTATATTGACTTCTGTGTCAAAAACCATGTCTGTGTAAACCAATTCATCAGGAGTGCATGTCGTTGATTCCCTGCTTCAAGTCAAAGTGCTTCCCTGCGTCAAGTCGTTAGTGATGGTTTCCCTACATCTGTACCAATGCCGTCGGAAACCAATGAATAGTTTTATAATGTCTTCTGCGTTCACAATGTTTCGGAAATGTGTAAAACAATTAATTGTGTAAACAATGATTGTTACGATAATTCTCCATTGCGTTATGAGGAATGATACATCATCTCCGTACGTATGCAACGATGAGCACGAAAACGAGGTAATGGGTATACATGAGCGTCATTCTCACTCGTCTTCCATGTCACAAGCCATGTGACGTGCAGTGCGCGTGGTTGGCTCCCCTGCGCCCAGTCGACAAACAAGAGGTCGTCTGCGGCCGGCTCGACGCGGCGCGACTGGCGCCTTCCGGAGCAACGGCCTCTGCCGGCGACCGGTTCCCTGGACGCCGAAGAGGGCGACTAGTTCCTCATCGGCCTCTTGTTTGGCACACGCGCGCCGAGTAGCGGTCGTAAATTCATTTAGCATTGCGCGGAGGTCAGCAGCCCGGCGCACGGCGCCGCTCTGAATCAAGGTCTGGGTTGGACACATTGCTTCTGTTTCGGGATATTTTGCGGCGAGCTTAAGACGTTCATGTCTGGTGTTACGCTGCCTATTGTACTTTAACTGTTCGTTTTTCTAGTTTGATGCTATTATGAAGGGACCTCTTTCTTTGTACTCTTTAGAGAAAGTCAATATGACTCGTTCGTAGTCTATGAACTCTGTGAAATCTTGTTACATATAACGGAAAAATTACACTTTAAAAATAAGAGATTTATGTTTTATAAATATTTTCATAAGAGTGCGAGATCCGTTACATGATTAAGTCGGGGCTCGATTGAATTCTAGAACTACATCACATACAAAAATATTTTTTTCAATATGATCTCAATATGATATAATCAATATGATTTGTTCAACATCATCTCAAACTACTCACCATTTGTTAAACTTGGAATATATGATTCTAGTTTTTATTCATAAGAATACTCAACAATAAATTAATAGTAATATCTAGTTCAATTATCTTAAACATCAATCTTTTACTACAGTCAATATTCAGTATTTCATCGTGCTTGGCAACACTATAACTAATAAGATTCGGTAAATAGTTTTCAACTTCGAGCTGAAAATCTGCTTGAAACTGATGACGGTTGAGCTGATGAATCGCGTTTTGGAATCGAGAGATACTGAGTTCGAATCCGAGTATGGAGATGGATTTCACGTAATTGACGTGTTCCCAATAACTGAGCAGGGAGCAAATCTGTGGGAGGAGGATTTTCAATGCAAGAGTAATTGACGGGTTGCATTGACGCAGCGTCAGAAGCAAAATTGGGGAAGCTGGTAATTCTGATAGGAGGCTTCGCTCACACACCAATTCAGATGATGGCGTCGAAATTTAGCACGCGAAATTGACTATGATCTAGTATTAAAAGGAAATTTCTAGTGCTTTCGTATTGTAAAGTATACGTGGAAAATACACTAGTATTTTTGGCTTAATGTGTCTTAAAACAAATGATTGTGTGAGGTTCTCCAGTTTCTGTAGCATTTCTGACTAAAACATTGGAGTTCCCTTACATTAACGAAGTACTTAGTTGTGTTAACTACGAAATTAACTGTTTCTAACTTTGTATTATTGCCCCGCAAATTTAAATAAATGGAGAGTGAAAACCCCTTAAGGCGACATGTCCGATCGGTCCCGGTTAACACATTTCAGCTGGGGAGGACTACCGCGAACTTACGGGATATAACAACCACTACCGCAACTGGATTAATGACCAGTAGTTGACGCGGCTACGAAGATTTAGATTTATTTAGTCAAAAACAAAAATAGTAAAAACTGTATGTGACGTATGGAGGAGAAGGTTATCTGTGCACATTTTCGTGAGTTCCAATATCCCCTCCCGTCATTTTAACTATAAATAGTTGAAAGATGAGTAAACGTTTAATATAAATAAATAAAAATAAATTTTAAAAATTAGTTTTAAAAATCGCAAGATTAGCACTATTTGAAAAAATATATATTTTCGTTTCCGAGTTATAGAAAACTTATTTGCATCGGTAAACGAGTTGCAAGTATGATTTTGTGCATTGCTAACAAAATAGTAACTCACCATTACCTCACCTTTACCTCAACTCCTACCACTACAAGCAAAAGGATAGTTCAACAAAACGTGCGCAAAGTGAAGCTTCATTTAAGTCCAGAAGCAAAACAAGGGACATCTCAGCATTTACTCAATGGATCAGGGAAACTGGGCAAAAAGCTGATCGAGATGGGGGTCATTGACCCGGAAGCTACATTATTTGTTACAAACATATTAAGTCACTTTAAAACAAATATACAATACAAATGTAAACTAATTCATTATATATCACTTTTGTTAGAAATCGCAACATCGCAAACTTCCAGGATATAACAACCATTACCATAACTGGACTAATGACCATAGTAGACGCTCTTGGAAAAACTAAAATATCAATCAACCAATTTTGCGTTGTACCTTCGTATTTTTCTTCGAATATTCTTATTCACATCGAAAAAAAAACTAGGTCATGAAAGCAACACTCTTCATAACAATAATAATCATAATTTTTGCAAACCAGCATCTCACTATTCCGTTTCAAACACAACTCTAACGGATGAGAAACAACTTTCTTGAGGGTATACGGAGACTATGCCGTTAACACACATTTCGGTCTTCCGGGTCTTCGGTTCGGGTTTGTGTTGGGCGAGAACGGGGGCTACCGGAACCGATCTGCATGTTAAAGAGAGCAAATATTTTTCCCCATCGAAAGACTGCTGATATCGCGGAGATCTGAAACGAGCTTTCATCAAATATTTACTCATTTCAATGATGGGATGAGTGTTTGCTTCTTCCTATTTCCACAAATTCATAAAAGGAGGAAAAAAAACAAACAAAGCCGTTTCAACCCAGTTCCGGAAAATAACAAGTTCCTTTACAAATATCCCAGAGGTATTTTATCTGGCACAATGACGGCAGCTTTGAATAAATAAATAAATTTATTTTCTATCCAAATATTTATTCAGACAGATATGAATGTTGAATATATTGTACTTTACATTTATGTAATAATATTGTTATTAAGAGAAATTACCCCCAAAATGCAGGAAAGGTATTCTTACAAAATCATGGCTTGTCTCTCTGCCTTTTTAACAAACATTAATAACCTTAGACCAATTAACACCACAGGCACACACCAAAGAAGTTGTCAAACTCAAAGACTTGACACATTTCTCGACGTGCTGAATCCAAATCTCCGAAGTCAGAATTGCGTTACCACCTTCCATTTTTTTTCGCGAAAAACACTGTGAAATTGTCGATTGTAAATTTGAGGGTGTTTTTTGCACTTTACAAAAACTGGAGGGTGGTGGCGTAATTATGGCTTCAGTTTCAAATTCAATGCGTTGAAATACATAAAGAAACACATGTCAAGTCTTTGGGTCTGACATCTTTTGTTGTTTTGTGTGCCTGTGTAACCGAACCTGATTCTGACTAATATAAATCAGAAGACGCACATTAGAAGTAAATACATTTTTGTGGCTATTCAAAATTTCAAACAATCAATCAATCTTGTTATTAGACGTGGCTATTGACACTATTTACGCCTGAAGTTTGTTTGATACAATTTATTTGAGAGTTTTACGAGACGCTAATTTAGTTTACCTTAAATTGTACGAATTAAAGCATTCAAGTACAGTGAAATCTGTGATGATGACAGACTTTTTATTAGATAATTCTCCATTTTCTTTACGGAAAAGTATCACATTTCCATAAAATTGACTAAATACATATTAAGTCTAAATGGTTTGCAGAATATCTGAAACCGCTTGACTGCAAACTAGGGAAGGCGCGAACTTGGTTACTTACATTGCTCGACACTTCCTTGCTTTGTATAAATAGTGACTTAAGAAAGTGTTTAATCATATTTCTCACACGGTAAATAATTTTTAAAAGGAAAATGAATTGAATTGAAAATATAAAATATTTGCAAACAAAATGTTACAAAACACATAAATTCAGGTTTTTCGGATATTGTCCTTTCCACCAGGCCAACTTGCATTATCATAATTGAGAATAATACGTTTCAGAGGGTTTTTATTTATGATGATTTCAGTATTTACGCTTTATGGTTAAACCCGATTGGAATACTGATTTTTTGAAGAGTCCCTCGCCGGCTGAAACATAACTCTTCGGATGTTTGTTTTCTTCTTGGTATCTGCCACTTTCGTCATTGATCACGCCCTTAAACGCGTGTCGAGCAAGTACCTCAATACTTCAACCAGAAGTTCGTAAGCACATCAGCACTTAGTCGAAGTTAAAGGAAAGGAAATAGGACACCTCTAGTTAGCGTTTACAATGTGGTTCAACTCGCCTTCATCACACTAACACAATTTACCGGAAAAGGAAAAATATATTTTTTAAATGTATTTATTTATGCAGATAAGTAATTTTCAGGGATTGTTTTGAGTTAGTATACGACAATTCAAAAACAAATACAAAAAAAATCAATAAAAGTACTGCAGTAATTTCTGCAGTTTCCGTCAAGGAATGAATATTTTAATTATTTTTCAAAACAGTTGAACTATATCTGCGACAAGACGTTAGCGAAAAGCACACTTATGTGAACTTTTTGATTTTATGTGCCCGTGATTGGTTTATAACCATCTTATTATAAAACGCTATATGCCGAATTGAAACTTATAACCCAGCAATGTGATAGCCAGGAAAGGATGAACCGGAGTATAAGAGTTAAGGCATATTTACAATGCAAACATAACCAAGACCATGGCGTTAACATAAAAGTTGGGACTACGCCCATAAGCAGACTCATTCCCAATGCGTTCGCATACGCATAACAAGTAAGACGTTAACTTAAAAGCTTGTAACCTTTAAGCTTCTGTGCTTATGCTTAAGTAAGACACAAGAAATGAACCAATTACATTACGTTAACTCAAATAGCATCGAAATAGGATCGAAGTATATAAACAAAATAACGCCATGTCCCATTGTCATGGACGCAGGCGAAATCTCGTAATCGATTTTCACATCCAACCAGTAGTGAACTAGAATGTCTCACAGCCAATAGAAACTGTTATTTTGCTTACATTTATGCCAGTCATTGTGAATACTTCAGTTACGTTAATGTTTACGTCTATGCGTTATGCTTTTATCTGTGTTTGCATTGTGATTGCGCCTTTCCACTCCCGCATCGTCAACTGCCTCTGCTCCGCAGGTGGATCGCGTCGACGGTGTTCGAGCCGGCGGAAGCACGGCGCGCCTTCCCCTGCCTGGACGAGCCCGCGCTCAAGGCGCGATTCCAGGTGAATGTGGGCCGCCCCGAGAACCTCGTCGCGCTCTCCAACATGCCACTCCGGGTCACGGAGCCCAAGTAAGTAAGAGGCCGCCCCAATTTTATTTTTGTAAGCGCATTTAGAGACATTAATCAATAACTTACAGAATCTTAAATTATCTGACTCAGAGAAACTATGATTTACACTAGAGACAGATGATATTTACAGTTATATAAAACTGTATAAAAGCATTTCCTCATACAACTCAAGATATTACCAATAATGCACCCGCTTTCAAATAGTTGTAATATATGTTACAAACTTCTAGAGTATTTATGGGTGAAAGATGATCACGTTTTGCCAATGAACACGTGGTGGGACCTCGCATATAACAAAGTTTTCCATCCGATATTTGCACCCATTTTTGGTATCTCATCCTGCACTGGTGTTTAGTAACTGCACTAGCTTTCTAGAGACGACCTACCAAAAGCTATGACAGTAAAGATCTTTTTCTTACAACAACTTCAAGATCACTCTTAAATGTTCATATGGCATAGCTAAGACAAAGTCATGACGGTTTTTCTACAATACGTTGAGACAGTTCTTTCTGTCAAAAAACAATTTATTCAGCTCACCCTAGAGGTGAGTCTTACATATAAAATGAGATATAAACCACACACTAATATTGACTGCAAATTATTGACATTCAATATTACAAAACTAATAACTTAAATAAATATTATAAGTTCAATAATTTCGGTACTTTTCATAAATCATGCTTGTCTTCCAGAGCATCAAAACCGAGACTACAATCAACCACTTTCAATCGCTTTCCTCATCTCTAGAGCCTCACCAAGTAACTTTCAGAACCCACCAAACAACTTTCAAAAATCTAAAAAATGCGATGTGAACAATTCATATTAATTGCATAAGTATTAAACATTTTCTATTTTAGTGAAAGCGACGAGTGATGGTAACATCCACGACCCTCCAACATGACTTGGAAGTTTATAACGTTTATTTTCAATCACCATGTGGACCCAAAATTTGAACTGTAATCTGGAACTCGCAACAGCTTTGGTGGCTCAGGGCATCTATTATGTCTCGACAATGCCTCTGACCGGGATGTCACAGGGTTCGAGAACCAACGGTGGCAAGATTTTTGACCTTAGCTACATAGCTAGGTTAAATTCAGTCGCTATATGGAGGAGAATTCTATCAGACGACTGCCCTGATCAGTAGTTATCCGTGGTCTTTCAACACCAGGCAAATGCCGATCATCACTCTAACAAACAGGCCATTGACCGCGCGCTATCTTTCCTTCTTTCTTGGCCTATTATCACCCCCTACGTATACACACACACATGCTTTACTCTACTACGCATATCGAGAGACCAGTCATGAGCGTAGAGCGCGGGTGTGAGATACCGGTTGGGGGATAAGCAAGCCAACGGATTGGTCGGCGCCGGATATCACCATCCAGCGGGGAATTTTACCGCCACTTCCCACAACAAAACATGCACTAGACTTTCGTGTATAATGACCTTAGCAGTTGACGTACCCGGAATCATTAACCAATCAATCCATCAATAGAAGTTGATAACATTTATTCCGAGCCAGCCCGTGGCTCCCAAATCGTCACTGTGTTGCAGGGCTGGGCACCCGGGGTGGGTGTGGGACCGCTTCGAGCAGAGCCCGCCCATGGCCACGTACCTGGCGGCGTGGGCGGTGGGGCCGCTGGAGAGCCGCAACGCCAGCGCGGACGGGCGGCTGCGCGTGTGGGGGCGGCCCGCGGTGCTGGGCGACGCGCAGTACGCACTCGACACGGGCGACCGCATCCGCCGCCTGCTGGCCGAGTGGCTGGACGAGCCCGACCCGCTGCCCAAGATGGACCTGCTCGCGCTGCCCAGCTTCGTCAGCGACGCGCTCGAGAACTGGGGGCTCATCTCCTTCGGGTGAGGACACCACCCGGCTATTGGTGGACATCATCTTTTTTTTTAAAGATATACTACGAAATCTTTGTCTCTTTAGGGCTTACTAAACAACAGTTGTTAGTGGGTGTTGGTATTTATTATGTTATATTTCAATTGAAACTAGTGGTGCTACAACATCACATACTTTCTCACGTTATTTTTAAATTTGCAATTTTCGAAAATTTCATATATTTCAACTAAAATGAGATTCGCGCTATTTTTTTTTAAGTATCCCGTCTTCTATCCAATGATAAAAAAATGAGTAGGGTGGAGTTTTTGAAGAAAAAATGCTATATTTTTTAAATTGCCTATATTTTGCGACAATTACACGAAAGCTAGACATATTTTCGAATAATTAAAAGTGAACATACTGTCACATTACTGCCTCTGGAGACTCCCAGTAATGTAATTCAGAACATTATTCCACATTTTACCGTACACCTTAATACTTTTTACATATTCGTGGATGTGAGACATGTGAATTCTTTTAAATATCTGAGAGGGTTGAAAATTTTAAATTTAATGAATAATACGTTCTAACGAATGAACAGATAATTCCAGGTTGACTCAATATTAATTGTTAGTTCATACTCTATTGCATTAATACATTTATTACGCTTCAAAGGAAACATCAAATTAATGCAACTTACAATTCAAATACTAAAATTATTGTTGGTATGAAAACAATATTATTTATGCCGGACGGTAATGAATTTTATAGAGTTTTAAGTTTACCCTTTCTACAACATTATAAATTAATTCAATAGTTAAAATAAATCTTGCACAAATTAAAAAAAACACAATTCATGGGGTTCATTTAAAATTATATAATTATGAAATGATATAATTTTGCCGAATCGTTCCTTGAGTTGGGTATTGGAATATTTCCTCTATCTTTCATGAACTGGTATGGAAGGAAACAAAAGGTCCAATCAATGATTAATTTTCTGAATCAATCTACCTTCAATTGGTCCAGATGTTAAGAAATATTAGAAGCTTAATGATTTAGAAGCGTAATATTTAAGGAAAGTACGTTTACTGGAATGCATACGTTAAAAAAAGGAGGGTATTTTACATCATGATTCGTAATTGGAAAGTAGAAATATAGGTGTTATTGATAAATGTCATTAATCCTTCCTTAACTTTTTTAACAACACATTATATTTGTAGATATTCTCCTCGCATCTAGTTTAAGTTTGATTGCATGTAAAAATATTTTGATTAGGGAGGAACCTTTGTGAAATAATAAAAAAAGATATATTCTTTTTTCTCTCCACAATCCCTGAACTTCATATTTTTGCGAATAGCTGAGAGAGCTTCCATAAACTCAAGTAAAACCTCATATTTTGCTCTTCACGAGGACGTTTTTACTTACATACTTCCAGTTTTGCCCTGAGGTTGTAAATCCAAAGATGAACGAGACCGCCCTCAAAGAAAACTTAAAAGAGCAATATCTGTCAGAATCTGTTTTGTGAAAACATCCTCCATCCGAGTCTTAGTAAAGAGCTTTCAAGTATCCCTGGAAAGCAGACTGTAAGAACATTCAGAGACGAGGAATGAAAGTACAATCATAAACTACGAGGTAATTACATAAAATGAACACACGTTTTTACGGGCCATTGAAAGCGGATAAAATTTTCCCTTTCATAATTTTACAACTCATCATTTCGTTGGTTTTACATCCAATGGAAATCCTCTTTTTTTACGTAAGGTGATATGTAAACAATGGTTTAAAAGAAACAATATTTTACTTTTTATATCTTAATTTGTTGCGTCGACGTTAACGCAATGCGTGTCTTGAACCCTTGTTGGGCATTGAGCGCTTGTATGGAGTAATTCTCCTTTACTATCTCTGTCAAGTCGCATCAGGTCAGAGTCAGTCAGTGCCTTTTATACCTCCGGCCAGGGGCTCGGTGCAGTTAAATCCCGGGTTTCCTAGACGTCACCCGATCAGGAACCCGCGAAGTCTCAAATTCGCTTAACCTCCGCGACTTCACGGTGCGTAGCGAACGAACTCGGCTAGCCACGTCGGCATTTTTCGTCCTTTTATCGCTTAACTAAATAGAAAAAGTTGATAAGTAAAGTTATAACTGCTAGGGTAGTTCCGTTTATATTAATTAATGTGAATATGTTTGACATGCATTATGAACTTTATTGCTTCATAACAAGATTGTAATGGAAATGTAGTTGCCAGATTAACTCTTGTAAAGGAGATTACCGTTCTTTTTTTATGATTCCACCAATACGAATACTAACATCTACGGTACAAAGTCGAATAATCGTAGGTAAGAAATATTACAATTCTTTACGACATAATAGAATTAATTTGGGTTGGGATATCAGAGTCTTAAAGAAGAAGTGATGGGTAACACCAAATAATACAATTTGAATTTTAAAGCATTATCTTTGACAGCAGCGAAAAGTCGTAACATTTGGTCTACTTTTTGTTATCTCATGTTCTCCGTTTGACCCGAGATCTCAAGCGCTACGGGCATGCTTTTAAAGTTCGTTGCATTTGGTCTACTCCCTGTGATCTCATGATCCCCGTCTGGCCCATGGGCTGGCAGGGAGCGTTACTTGCTGCCCGCCCTCTAAGTCCATTACATTTATTCTACTCCTCGTGCGCTAATACTCTTCGGTCGTCCTGTGGCCTCGCAGGGTGCGGTACATGCCGCTCGCACCCAAAGATCGTTACATTTGGTCTACTTGTGCTCGCACGCTTCTCGTCTGCATCTGGGCCGCAGGGTACCTCATGTCAGCAGAGAAAGATCTTTACATTTTGTCTACTCGTGTTATAATGCTCTCCGTCTGGCCTGTGGTTTCTTACGGAGCGCTACGTGCAGCCCGCACCCAAAGTTCGTTACATTTCGTCTACTCCTCGTGTGTTAATGCTCTTCGGCCAGCTTGTGTCTTCGCAGATAGCGTTACTTGCTGCCCGCGCCCAAAGTCCGTTACTTTTGGTCTACTCCTTGTGTTCCAATGCTCACTGTCCTGCCAGTGGTTTCTTAGGTAGCGCTACCGCCTTACAGCACCCAAAGTTTGTTACATTAGTACTTGTGCTTCTCGTGTGCAACAGGCACGCAGGGTGCGCTACCTCTTGCCGGCAACAAACAATTGTTACATTTGGTCTACTCCTTGTGATCCCATGCTCTCTATCTGTCCCGTAGGCCTGCAGGGAGCATTACTTGCTGACCGCGCCCAAAGTCCGTAACATTTGGTCTACTCCTTGGTGTTACAATGCTCTCAGTCCTGCCAGTGGTTTCTGAGGTAGCGCTTCCTCTTGACATAAGGGAAAGATCGTTACATTTGGTCTACTTGTGCGTTCATGGTCTTCGGCCGGCCGGTGTGTTGGCAGAGAGCACTACCTGCTGCCGGCGCCAAAAGTCCGTTACATTTG